AATTCCATTTGATTTTTTTTTTTCCCATAGGAACAGCTGGGTTAAAAAATCTCTGACTAATAGGTTTTCACTATCATACTAATCACTTTTTTTTAAAATCAAATCAATGAATCATCCAATTTAAATCTGTTTCTCATGAACCAAACATTTCACAAAGATTCACGTGTGATAAATAACCACCAAACTCAAGACACAGAGGTAAAAGGGCTCCCCAGCTCATGGTTCCTTCCTTTCCTGACAGCCAGAGCTGCGAAGGGAACAGTCACCTAGGTAAGGGTGAGGGCTGTGACTGCTCCTTGCTATGTTGAGAAAGCCAAGCCTCTGATGTGTTTTGTTGTAGCTGAGGGGAGTAGATGTAGTACTGCAGCACGACTTTTGCCGGTTCCAGCTAAAAATTAAACCATCTCCTGTTGTTATTTGAAGGGACATTTACAATTAAGGTCCTATGACTCACAACTGGAATGAGCAGAGCTGTGGATTGTTCCTATTGCTCATAGTAAACTTATCCTCTCTGCAGGGGAAACAAAAGTTAGGCCAGATCATGCATAGGCAGACATTCCTATGCCTAGCAAGGTGATTCCCTGTCACAGAAGAAAGCTCTGATCTATGAACCACTTCAACATACAGTATCAAACACCCCTGATGTGCTGACAAGTAAAAGCATGATGATGCTGTGTTAATGTTCACTGTGTGGGGATACAGTGACACAGATCTATGCCTCTGCTCTCTCCCTTACAAGTAACCCTAAGGAAACCACTGAGCCTCACTGAAATAACCTGAGATTTTGCATGCTCTCTACCAGCCTGCAGCACCTCAGAGGAACATAGTGCAAAAACCATCTCTGTGTGGGCAGTAGCACATAAAGAACAAGGAGGAATTTGCCACAGCAGTTCTTGTCCCCACACCTTAAGTGTCCTGCGGTTTGCAGGCTTCCAGCCTACCCATATGAAAGCACATAGCTTCACCACCTGAAGAGTCACTGCATAATGGAAAAATACAAAGAGAAGTGAAGAAAGGCTGAGGACAGTGTCACTAAACCAAGAACTCGGCTCCAAGGAAGAATGTTACTTAAGGCTTGAGAAGGGGCAATGGTTTTGGTTTGGTTTGGTTTTGGTTTTTGTTTTTTTTTTAATAGATAAATAAATGCTGTCATTATGAAGTGACATTATGAAGTGACATGAAAGCCATCTTCTGAGCTGTGATGCTATGCCCCTAAGAAAGTAATTTTGGAACCAAGCCAACTGACACATGTTAACAGAGCATCTCATGTTTGCTTTCCTTTAGTTGAGCCTTTAAAGACTGAGTTTCCTTGCAGAAGCCTTTGAAGATGTCCATATAGGACCAGCCAGGTGATTCCCAGCGACACAAAGAATGAAACTTCTTGAGCAGCATAGGGTTTCTCAACAAGAGATTGCTAGCAAAACTGAAATATAAAGGATCACCTCAGCCTTTGGCCAAAGGAAAACAAACATGTAAATGCTGGGTACCTTGCGATCCAGCTGACATACAACATGTTGAGACTAAGGCCTATATGCTCTTATAGGAGGCCACCACACATCCCCATCCCACCCCCCGAGATACAGTCACACATAGCAGCCTGCCAAGTGCTGCTAAAAAACCCAAACTGCCCTGACATGGACGACTCCTTAAGACCTTGCAACTAATGTTTCATGCATGCCAGGAGGCAAGTACCCTATTTAAAGAAATATGACATTAATCAAAGAATTAGTTACAGGATATTAAACTCATTGAGGTGCTGTTATCAAACACATAAGGCAAACAACATTCTGGGTAATTAGCAGACATGTATGATGAGCCTGCAATCTGAATAAGGGGTTTGCCTGTGAGTCTCTGGATGCCTTGCTTCTTAAAGCTTCCTAATGGTTGCATAGGCCTGACTTACAAACTTCCCCTGGAATATTACAAAACAACACATCAGTAAGATATAGTAACTTGTAAAGACCTTCCAATTTCTTTGCCACAAAATTAAAAAAGTTTTCCCACTTGCTGCAAACATTGGCTAAGCTGAGCAGATAAGGACAGGCATATGGATGTGCACATGTGCCCCCCCCC